GATAACAGCTCAAGTGATCAAGGGTAGCATGGAGTACCTCACTATAAAAAAACCTCTACTCTTACATGTATATTGTAGTACTAGTTGAATGGCATTATTACTAGTCTAAATAGAAATCATCTTATTAATAGTAAGGAGCTCAAATTCCAAAGTGACCTCAATGTCTAGTCACTACTCTCAAAATCCTGGCAACAGGTAGCACTTGACAGCATGGAGACCAAGATCATCTGCAGAAGCTTTGGTATGACATGATTTTGTACCACAGAAATCATGCAGCAGCCTTAAGAAATGGTTCTGTCAGCCTATCATGATTCTGGTTGTCTGTCTTGTATTGAAAGATCCTGGGGCCCTGAATGGGTAGTTCAGTTGGTTACAGAGTCGTCCCGATACACCAAGGTTGTGCATTTGATCCCCAATCAGGGCACATATAAGAATCAACCGATGAATGCATAAATAAGTGGAACAATAACTGATGTTTCTCTTTCTCTCTCCCTCTCTCTAAAATAATCAATAATTTGTTTAAAAAGTTAAGAAAATACATTAGTTTTTTAATACATCTGCTTTAGTTCCACATTTCTATGAATCTTTAACATACGTAGGAAACACCTCTGTGAGGACAGTCATTGGCATAACGTGGTTCTAGCCAAGAACAGGAGCCCAGGACGTGGCTTTGCAGTTGATCACTTCTTTAGTTATCACCACACAAAGCCACTGAGGCCAGGATGGTTTCTTGCCCCATCCTGATGGAGTGCCAAAAGACTTCCACTTTTCTCCTAGTTAAGCCACAGCAATTGCTAGACTGGAGGTGCTAAATGCTCAGTATAAGCTTCTTGAGAATATATATTTGTCAAATAAGAGTGATAAATGTTTTTTAAATGTCTCTATAAATTTTTATATATTTTTCTGTAGTTTCTTATCCAAATTCCCTTGAAAAAACGAACCTTGCTTAGTTTATCAGTTACCCCTGGAATATAGAAGCAGTGGGGGGAATAGGAGGTCCCCCTCAACTGGGGTTTCCCTCTTCACCTTTGGCTCCCATTTTATCAAGGATGATCACCTAGGAGGGCCTCTGCTCAAATGTCACCTCATCAGAGAGGCCTTCTCCACCACTGTATTTAATAAGACACTGTCCCCACTCCATGTATCTCCCTTAGTGTGCTTTGTTTCTTGCTGTTTCTTCCCCACAGAACTCACGTTTTTTAGTCTCTGCAATGGAAAAACATTGTTATGCTAGTCATTTTAGAGCATTTCTGTAAAAAGTGATGCAGAGAGCAACAGGCCAATTCTGATGGGGAAGGAATAGAGAAACATATTCAAAGCACTGTGAGAGAGCAAAGTCACCCTTGCAGCAATATGGTGATTTTGATACTGGATCCCACCAGTAACTGAGCAAGAAGTTACACAGAAAATTATGTAGACCTATGGTCGTTAGGCTGGGACCCTGGGGTCCCCAAGAAGGTCCTCAGGAGCTCCTGACAATAAAAGAGGACAGAACAATGCCAAGTTAAAGCCCTTGTGGGCTGAGACTGCTTGTTGCTGCCTCAGTCAGAGTAGCTGTGTTTTTATCTGTTTTATGTAATGAAACTCGATGTAAAATTTCATTTGAGAGAAGGGTCATGCTGCTTAAAAATCATTTGAAAATCCTGATGGAGATGATGTCAAGAATTTTTTAAATCTGCAGATTTTATAAGAATCTATGAGAAAGAAACAGGAACAAAACAGTGAGAATGTTCATTAGCATGACATATACAGGGTGCCCCCAAAAATGTATACACACTTTGAATAACTATTAATTCCAATGGGTTAAATCTAAAAAGAAAGAAAGATAAATTGAGCTATCAGCTGTTAAGTGTGTATACATTTTTGAGGGACACCTTGTAGTGGTAGAAGTTCCCATAGTGAAGAGGAGGGAGGAGGGGAGATTTGAGACCTCTTGCAGAAAGCAGCCGAGATGTGTGCGGTGGGCTGAGAGGTCACCTTTGCACCCACACTATGAACTAAAGCCTGTCCCTCACCGTTTTGTCCTGAGAAGTGAAGCTCCTGTGATGTGCACTGCAGCTGCTTCTTCGAAGGCTTGAGCTGGCCACTTGGTGACTTCTGAGTGATTTCACAAACTGCCACTTCCTCTGCATTTTGTCCAAAAACCTGGGAATAGGTTATCTGAGGCTGAAGGAGGAAATTAGATTGGGACTTCAGGATAAAGTAAGAGAGAAAATATGTAGAAAATATCCTGGGACACAGGAAAAGAGAGGAAAAAGGCAGAGCCACATTCTATTTTCTGGCACAGCTGGGAGTACATTCACCCTGCTACACAACCAGTTCAATGGGAGTACAATTTGAGAGCTCTACCCCCAAAGATTCACCAGAGCTCCTGGCTCAGCCTGGTCACCCATCCCCGCAGACACCTTCTTACCTGCTCTGCTGGCCCATCAAGCTCTTTCTCCAGCTCCTCCAGCATAATCACAGCCTCCTCTCCATTCTCTGGTCTGTGCTCTTGCAGCCAGGCCTGCAGCTCCTCTGGCAGGATGGCCAGGAACTGCTCCAGCACCAGCAGCTCCAGAATCTGCTTCTTGGTGTACACCTCCGGCCTTAGCCACTCACAGCAAAGCTCCCTGAGCCTGTTCAGAGCCTCCCGGGGCCCAGGGGACTCCTGGTAGCCAAACTGCCTGAACCGTTGGCGGAAAGTCTCTGGACTGCAGCAGCTTCTCCAGTGGAGGCTGGATTCTAGACTACAGGCCTCTTTCCTTTCCATCTTCACTACCAGAATGCTATCAGGCTCCTCTGAAGTTTGTGGAAGGAATGTTGATGCAGACATTTGGACTAATAGCTCAGGACTGCTAGGCTTTAATTTTTAAGGAAGTGAAGCTCTCCTTATGGGTAATCCTTAAATATGATTAAGGAAACAAGTGGAAACAAGACAAAGACAAATGCTTCTTAGAATACAACTAAGACTAGAAACAAGACAATCCAGAAAGTACTGCTCTTAATCTTAACATACATTATGCTCTCAAAGAATATTTCCTTCTTTAAGAGAATCAAAGAGCTAAGATTCATTAATTCATATGCATGAGTAATTCCTAGTTGTTTCTAATTTTTACTATTATAAATAATGCTGGGAGGCACATTTTCATGAATCTACTAGTTTTCTCCTGTCAAATTATTTTCCTCAATCATGTCCCAAGGCCTTGCCTTATTAAAGCCAAAAGAGAGTGGCAAATTCTGTCTTGCTATGTATTATCAAATAAATTGCAGAATAGACTATCAATTCACAATGCCACCAGCATAATTAATGTATGAGAGCAGCAACTTCTCCAAGTATCATTAGCCTGTTCACAGGAGGGGGGAGTGGAAAGACACTTTTCTTAGTATAACATTTTATTGAGTACCATTTTACATAGTACCATTTCAATGTCATCAGTTAAATGATGACTAGAATCCAATTACTAATTAAAAAATCTTATACTTGCTCCTATTTTTCCTTTATGTAGCCTGCCATTTTCCCCCCACTTCACCAAGCACTGTTCTAGGCACTAAAGATACATTGGTGACCTGAGCAAAGACTATGGCTTCTTAAGGCTTGTACTCTAGCAGAAGATACACTAACGTTACCAAATAAATGATACAACTTGTACAGTGCTGTGACCACTGCATATGATAACAGCCGACACTGAAAACAGCCAAGCACTGTTCTGAACACCTTAATAAATATAAACTCATTTAAATCTTCACAAAAGCCCTGTACGGATATTTTCACCCCCATGGTGTACATGAGAAACCTGCTCAGGTAACAGGACCATGGGCAAGGGAACAGGACTGGCATCTGGACCCAGGCCACCCGCACTTATCCACTGCGCTGCGCGGTCAGAGGCCAAAGGCAGGAGCCCCAGCTCAGAGAAGGGGCTGCAGGCCCCGAGGATCCTGGGCCTGAGCAGTCTGGGGTGGAGACGGGAGCCGCCGCGAGAAGAGTTGAGGCTAAGAGTTTGGAGCCTTCTGGGAGTTACACTGAAGGCCCCCAAGCTAAAGCTGCCTCCGGAAGTCGCAGGAGAGACCGTCGCCGGCGAACCTGTGCCTTCTCCACAGCTGCGCTCAGCGTTACCCAAGGGACGGGGGAGCTACACCCCAACACGGCAGGGGCGCCCGTAAAGAACCCGGTCTCTGGAAAGGAGGGTTCGCCCAGAGCCAGGAGCCAGGGTCTTTGACGAGAGGACCGACTCTCACTTCGCAATCCCTCCGGTGGGCCGGCTCCAGGAGACCCCGGGCAGTACCCCCTTTCCTTGCCCCAGCCCGCGGCGCCCCTCCCGGCGAGAGG